AGATTAGATCCTAGCCGTTGGATCAAACTTGTTTCCTAAGTTTCCTCTGAATTTACTTGGCCTACATTTCTCCGGCTTTCTTTATGGCCTTCCGGGCTCAGAAAATTCTTCTGTTTGTTCCATAATTCCCTTTAGTTCTAGAGAATATCTATAAATTTTCTTAGGCCACAAAACTCCCTTTAAGCCTTACATAAAATTCATTTACCAAAATACCCTTTTATCAGCATAATCAGCTTTTTAATTTATTAAAGCCATTCCACTGGCCTTTTGTTACGAGACTAATTTTATAAATTAGTACAACCTTTCAACCATTTAACCTCATTTTTGTATACATTTTTGAGGTCTCTTGCTATTTTAAATAATTACCTCAAATGGTATACTTTTTATTGGTAGTAACCTCATAAATTCCATTGAAGCTGTCTCAGGGTATTTCTGTCTTTTCTCTTCACAGAAGAGCCTTAGAATATTATTTCCTATTTTTTGGGATTTTCTTGGAATTCTCTATGTACTCTTCCATTTTTATCCCTGTTGGTCATAACTTTCTAAATTTACGATTTAGTCCCTGCTTGGCTTAGCTTCATATAATCCTCTCTTGGAGGCTTCTAACTTAACCTTTAGCCTATATCTAGTCTCTTTTCTCTCTTTGGGCCTTCAAGATTTTACTGGAGCCTCTAACTTTGATTACACTTTAGCCTTTAAAACTTTTACTTTGCAGTTTGGTCCCTGAAACTGCTTTGCCTTTGTAGAATACAGAATAATATGGAAAATAATTCTCTTGTATTTCATTGCTCAGAATATGCACATATATATACAAGTGGGAGGAGCCTTTGCATTAATGGCTCATTATGATAATATCATATCATATCATATCCTAATCATAATTATATAATATTTACATAATATCATATCATATCTCTATACTCCCCCTCAAGTTAGAGCATAGATGTTAATCATGCCCAACTTGTTACACAGATAGTCAACACGAGTCCCATTTAGAGCCTTAGTCAAAAGATCCCCTAATTGATCACTAGAGCGAACATATCTAGTAGAGATGAAGTTCTCTTTAAGCTTGTCTCTGATAAAGTGACAATCAATCTCAATATGTTTGGTATGTTCATAGAACACAGAATTAGAGGCTATATGTAGGGCAGCCTTATTGTCACACCACAACTTTGCTGGCAAAGTAGTTTTGAGGCCAACCTCCATCAGTAACTGATATATCCAGATTATCTCACATACAGACTGTGCCATAGCCCGGTATTCTGCCCTCTGCGCTCGATCGGGACACCACATTTTGTTTCTTGCTTTTCCAGGATACTAGATTCCCGCCCACAAAGACACAGTATCCTGTAGTAGACCGTCTCGTGGCCTTGATCCACCATGATCCGCATCACAGAAGCACTCAATGTCTGTATGACCATGATTTTTGTATAATATCCCACGACCTGGACATCCCTTCAAATAATGTAACACGTGTTCCAAGGCTTCCCACTGTCTGACAGTTGGGGATGCCATGAACTGGCTTAGTACACTAACTGAATAAGTAATATCCGGACGAGTTACAGTGAGATAGTTTAACTTGCCAATCATTCTCCTGTACCTCTCAGGATTCTCAAATGGTTTGCTCTTTTGAGCCTCAAGCATCCGTTTCTCATCATCAAGAGAGTCATCAGGCGGTATGCTCCCATCAGCGTCAAGGAGTGGGTTGTGGACCATAGGGAAATTAGTCGGTGCTGCTCCCAACTTCCCAGTTTCCTTTAGTAGGTCAAGGACATATTTGCGCTGTGTCAGTAATATGCCCTTCTTGCTTCTCATAACTTCAATACCTAGAAAGTATGTCAGAGAGCCCAGATCCTTCGTCTGAAAGTGGGAATTAAGAAAGGACTTGAGGGTCGAGATGCCTGAACCATTATTGCCTGTGATCATAATGTCATCTACATATATCACCAAGAGAATCATGCCACCGCTGTTCTCTGATAAAATACAAAATGATTCGCACTTGCTTTGGCTCATGCCAAATTTCTGTACAATAGTGCTGAACCGGTCAAACCATGCATGAGGACTTTGCTTCAAACCATACAAGGACCTCTTAAGGCGACATACTTTCCCACACTCCCCCTGAGCAACGAACCCAGGTGGTTGCTCCATATAGACCTCTTCATGGAGATCCCCATGCAAGAAGGCATTTTTAATGTCTAACTGATGTAAATTCCAATCATAAGTAGCAGCCAGAGAGATGAACAGACGAACAGATGAGAGCTTAGCAACAGGAGAAAAGGTTTCAGAATAGTCAATGCCATAGGTCTGTGCATAACCTTTAGCCACAAGGCGAGCCTTAAGGCGATCAAGTGTGCCGTCAGCCTTAGTTTTCGGAGTTAACACCCATTTACATCCAATGGCCTTTTTACCTGCCGGTCGAAATCGACCAGGGTCCATGTATTTTCCCGATCAAGGGCCGCCATCTCCTCTTCCATTGCAGCACGCCAACCCGAGTGGGCCAAGGCTTCACGAATAGTTCTGGGCACAGAGATAGTATCTAGGGAGGCAACAAAGGAACTGGACACAGGAGACAAGTGGTCATAGGAAACAAAATGAAATAGGATGGGCACAAGTACGTTTACCTTTGCGAAGGGCAATGGGTAGATCAAGAGAGGCATCCGGGTTAGAACAGGAGGTGTCTCAGGATTAGGGTCAGAACGAGGCTCAGTGGTGCTCACTCAGGATCTAATGGTGAAAGAGGAGACAAGGGAGGAATAGAAGCCAGCGTGGCGGTAGTAATCTCCTTTGACCATCGTGCATACACATGATCAAATGGTTGAACGGGTGCGAGAGCGGGTGCTTGCGATGACGGTGATGGTGAAGTGACAGAGTACAATAGAATGTCATCCTCCTCCGCAGCAGTGGAGCAGGTGGGGAAGAAACACGAGAAATATGGTGTGGACTCCTGAAAGGTGACATCTACAGATACTAAATAACGATTGAGAGTAGGTGAGAAACAACGATAACCTTTTTGGACCCAGGAGTATCCAAGGAAGACACATTTAAGAGACTTGGGGTCTAACTTTGAAATAGATGGACGTACATCCCGCACAAAACAGACACACCCAAATATCTTAGGAGCAATAGGGAACAAAGGCTTAGAAGGAAAGAGGGTAGAAAAAGGAGAGTTACCATCAAGAACAGAGGAAGGCATTCGATTAATAAGAAAGCATGCAGTGGAGACCGCGTCAGCCCAAAATGGTTTAGGAACCTGCATTTGAAACAAAAGTGCATGTGCCACTTCAAGTAGGTGGCGATTTTCCTTTCGGCAACACCATTTTGAGCTAGTGTATCAACACAAGACGATTGATGAAGTATACCATTTTGAAGCATGTAGATTGGAATGAAGCAGAGAGATATTCTTTAGCATTATCACTTCGTAAGGTGCGAATAGAAACATTAAATTGAGTTTTAATCTCGGCACAAAAGGCACAAAAATGGGAAAACAATTCAGAACGATGTTTCATTAAATATAACCAAGTTGTTCGGGAATAATCATCAACAAATGTAACAAAGTATTTAAACCCTGCTTTGGACTCTACAGGACAAGGACCCCAAACATCAGAATGGACTAACTCAAAAGGGGATGAAACCCGTTTATTGACACGAGACACTAAGGAAAGACGATGATGCTTGGCAAATTGACATGACTCACAATCGAAAGACGACAAATGCTGAAATGAGGATAAACTCTCTTGAGAGAAGATAAAGACAAATGACCCAATCGACAATGAACTTCAAAGGGAGAATGACTGCTAGCGCAAGCCACCGCATAAGACACCCAATCATCCAATATATAGTGCCCGCCAGATTCATAACCTCTACCAATAATCCGCCTCGTCAAAAGATCCTGTATCAAGCAATGAGAAGGAAAAAGTGAGACCCAACAGTTTAGTTGACGGGTGAGTTTACTGGGAGATAGGAGATTGAAGCAAGTTTAGGGACATTTAGCACAGATGACAAATGGATAGAGGGAGTAGGATTAACAGTGCCAGAACCGAGAACTTGAGACTGGGAACCATCAACGATGGAAACACTTGACGGATTAGCAATAGCATTATAAGAGGAGAAGAGATGGCGGTTACCTGTCATATGATTAGTAGCCCCGGAATCTATGATCCACTTTGAGGAAGAAGAAGCAAGGGCAGTAGCATTATACCTGTTGTAGCCGCGGCACTCACAGACGACGTAGCAGATTTTAACTGGGCATACTCAGCGGCAGAGATCGTGACTGTGTCACTAGCTTGTGTAGCCACGTGGGCAGAGTTATTTCGTTGCTGTTTATTCTGAAGTTTTCGACATGTGCGTTTTGTATGCCCTGGTTCTTTGCAGTAATAACACACTACCCCACTGGAGTCAGAAGGGGCTCCCCCTTGCTTCGAACCACCACGGGTAGGCCCCCCCAGTTATCACTGGACTATGAGTCTCATAGGTGCCCTTACTGAGCAAGGCACTTGTAGGAATACTAGCAGCTGGTGGCAAGAGATTCTCAGCTCTCATTACTCTGGAAAACACATCTTGAAGGTCAGAAATCTCAAATCCGGATAAGATTTGAGAGCGAACTGTGTCGTACTCAGGTAGGAGACCAGTAAGAAATCTCATAATAGCCATTTGCTCCCGTTGCTTATGCTGAACCTTTAAATCAGCAGTAAGCGGCATTAACACATTGAGCTCTTCATACTCATTCCTAAAGTTAAAGTCCATAAAGTAGGCTTTGAGAGGGCGATCCTGTTTCTCAGAACGATAGAAAGCTTTGCAGACCTCGTAAACACGAGAGATATTTCCTTTTCCTGAATACAAAAAATCTAAATAATCCATTAGTTCCTTAACCAATTCACAGTGATTAATAGAAGGAATAATCTCACTGTCAATGGAATTACGGATCTGGAAAAATAGCCGTGCATCATCCCGCAACCAGGCCCTTTTTGAATCAGTTGTTGGAGGATCATCGGTCAGATGGTCTTCCTTCTCAATGCTTCGCAGATAGAGACGAATTGTTTTACTCCAATCCAAATAATTTACCCAAGTCAACTTATGATCAGTAATTTTAGTAACAGTTGGGACAAGCTCCGAGACAGATTTAATTTTAGCCATAGATGAAGTGTACTAACCAAAAGGAATGCGAAAGAGTGTCACACAGGGACACAAAGCACGATACCTGAATCACCTAATGAATACCTAAGTAGTGAAAAGACCAACAACTACACTGGGAGCTACAAACAGAACCGAATTGAACAAAAAAAGATGAACCGTACGGACGCTGGAGTGAACAGTACCGAAAACTTGATGAACAGTGCACCACGCCGGGGGTTACAAGCTCACACGATAATGTTGGTACTGTAGCAACCGAAAATTACCACCCAAAAAAGAATCTCACGCTCTGATACCATGTAGAATACAGAATAATATGGAAAATAATTCTCTTGTATTTCATTGCTCAGAATATGCACATATATATACAAGTGGGAGGAGCCTTTGCATTAATGGCTCATTATGATAATATCATATCATATCATATCCTAATCATAATTATATAATATTTACATAATATCATATCATATCTCTACAGCCTTCCTTTCTCATCTTTGGGACTTCTGCTCAAAAAGGGTCTAGTAGCCTATTCAATCCAGGCTATTTCTGGTACTTCTAGGCCCAAAAGTTTGGATGTTACATTTAGAGCCTAAAGACTCGGGATTCTTGGTGCGAGGCATCTGAGCATGAAGCAAACATACAATAAACAACCAAAGTAAACACACAAAATAAACAACCCTACAAAGGAAACTAAAACCTATACTAGGCCCAGAAACCAAGAACTCTGCCATACTTAACTAAAAGCTATCCCTTGCCAAACTCACTATGGCAAAAATTGTTGAAACTTTTGAATTGGGACATTTGCATTTTAAAAGCATTAGAAAAATCATGGGAAAACCCAAATGTTCATAATTTTCAATTGCCCAAAATCAATTTCTTGTAAATCCTTAATAAGTATAGTTAAAATCCATTAAGAAACTGCAGTTTGGAAACAATAGAGGTGAGGCAAAGGTTTAAAGGCTCCTCTGTGAGCTCAACTCATGACCTAAAGAAAGTGAGGTAATGACTTGAACAAACAGAGGGAGAAAAATTTGAGTTCAGAAGGGCTTGAGTCATGACCCAAAAATAGTAAGGTCGTGACCTGAACCCAGAAATTTTAGAAAGACACAGAATAAACCAGTTTTCTAGAAACCAAAAGTTTACAGCAAGTGTGATCCCAAGCAGTTTGAAAACAAGTTAAATAGCATTTTGAACATCCAGCCAAGACTCCACTCAATCAAAATCAAAACCCTAGAAACTAAAACCCTAGAAACATAGAACTAAACTAAACTAGAAAGACCAAAAAGAAAAATAGAGGAAACCTTGAAAGAGTGTAGGAAGGATGGACTTTACTCAAGAATGGCTTAAATTTCAAATGGTAAGGGAGGATTTTCAGAGGCGAGAAAGCAACAGCAAACACAGGAGAGAGTAGGTGATGGCATGAGGGATGAGGGACTGGAGTAAAGACAGATTTTTGAAGAGCAAGGGTAGTTTCCCTTAAGGAAACTAGAGGAGAAGGACGGTTACAAAAGAAGGAGGAGGGTTACGACTTCAGGGAGGCAAGAGTTCAAACATGGAGAGGGAGGGTAAATGTGCAAGGGAAACTGAAGGGGGAAAAAGTGTGATTTTACAAAGAAGAACTATGATTTTAGGCCCTTACAGTGTAGAAAGCTTAAATTCAAGGCAGGTTCAAAGGGCGAAATGGTAATTAAGGTGGAGATAAGTAAGGGTAAAGAGGTGAACTCGGTGAAAAATCCTGAGTTTTCACGTCAAGTCACGACCTGAGGCATGTGAGGTGTAAGATCCCAAAATTTGAAACCCTAGAAATGAGATATGATTGATAAGCATAAGGTATGAGTAAAGCATAGAAACTCAAAATGGGACGAAACTGACTTTATCAGATCCCTAGGGGCAAAACAGTAATTTTAAGAAAAGTTTTCAAAATTCCCTAAAAATGGAAAAAGGTGGAATTAGGGGTTTCTAAGTCACCTATGATGTTTTGAGAGTGAGAATGGCCCAAAATAAATTTTGGTGAAAATTCCTAGAAAAATAATTATTTTTGGGAAAATAGGAAAAAATAAAGCAGAATTAAAGTGATATAATTATTTTAATTACCTAAGGACTCTAAACATTCAAGGAGAAATATGGATACACTCCCTAGGAATATTTATGAATTTATAAAATTGTTTCCAAGCATTCAAAATTCAAGAAATAATTTATGGGGAATTTACTTCCGAATTCCTATCGGTAAAGACCCGATTTCAGAAAAATGTGAAAAAAATACCTAGAGGTCTTGAAAAATTCCCAAAACTTTCAGATGACACTTTTGGAATAAATATGGATTTATCATGAAAATAAATGGAATTATGGAAGCCCTTAGCTATTTTTCTCTAATAGGAGGCAAGAAATCGGGTATTATGTGACCAAATAATTTTTAAAATTACCCTAAGCAATTCCATTGTTTCCTAATTAGTTTTTACCATTTAGTTAGCATCCAACAAGGCCCAAATTCGTGCTCATCATGATTAGAACAGCTGGCTTGTGTGCTGGGCAAAGTTTTAACCATTGGATCAACTCTCTTGAAACTTGAGTCAAAGGATGTGTGGTTGATATTACTCCCTCATTTTGGCCGACTTACACACTTAATTTTGGGGCAGAAACAGCTGCCCAAGGGCATGTTTTAGGGCAGCAAATGAGGTCTATAAATACCCCTATAATTCAACCAAAATTTGTGCAAAAATCTGGTAATATAGGGGAGGTTCTGCACAAATTTTTCTTGAATTCCAAGCACCCTTCAAACCACTTCCAATCCAAGGTTAATCATCAAGATTTAATCCAAGACTCCTTAAGGTATGTTTAGGCTTTAATTTGATTCTTTTTCCATGGCCAAATCGTGACTTAATTGAGGGGGAAGTGCTGTTTCCTTTCTGTTATGCTGGAAGTGCTAGGAAAGGATAGCAAATTGAGTGAGTTTGTGTTGTTGATGTTTGGTGCGGTTTTGAATGGGTTATGGAAGAAATTACCCTAGGAACTATGACTTTTCAGTTCATCCAACTCAAGAACTCAAGGGTAGGAATTGTTTCAATAAGTTTTAATGGTTCCAATGGATTTAAATTTGATTTTTTGTAGGATTATCCTATGGAAGTATGTTTAAATTCATTGGAATCAATGTGGAAATTTATTAACCTAAGGGGAGGTGTTCAGCCATCTGAATTCATGGACTTATGATTGGATTTTGATGGATATGATGCTTCCATTGAACTCCTTGGGCATTTTTGTGTAGGGTAATATGGAGGAATTGAATTTGGAAGCATTAAAAATCAAGTTAGAAATTTTGACATCTTTCCTTGTAAAAAAATTCGTTTATGTTTTGGTCAATTTCAGGAAGGGATTTGATTTTGTAAAATTTGATTTAATATTTGAATTCTACATGAAAAACCATATAGGAATAGCCAAGGAGGTTTCTTGAATCAAAAGGAAAACAATTAGGCCAAAAATCCCAAGAAAAAGGGTTAATGTTTAAGTAATAGGGAATGTGTTTGAATAATTGTTGAATGATTGGCATTGGTGTTGGTTTGTTAGGTACCTTGCCAAATCCTCAAGAAAACATCTTTAACTTAAAGGAATCAAGGACCAAGTACCAAGAGGAGCATTGAATTACATTTGATTGCTTTCTTGCTTACATTGATGTGTTAATGTGTATGTGTGCAATGTGTGCCATGATGTGACTAAGCTTTATTGCAAATGTTGATTGCAATGTTTGAATTATGTTGACTTGGCATTATTTCTATTGAATATGTGTATGATAGCTTACTTTCCATGGCATAAAAGCATGAACACATAAACAGATAAATGCACAAAAGCATTGCACGTAGTGTTTGCATGAATGCATGATAAGTGTGATTCTGTGCTACTGGGATTTCTTTGAAATCTC